TTTTTTTATTATATTGTCTTATTATATTTTATTATATTTATTATATTATTTGTTTATTTTAATATATATATATATATTAATTTTACAATACCAAGTTTTGTTTTTTCTATACTTTAAAGATACTATTTATGGCAAAAAAAAAGTTTTATTTTGACGAATACTTTACTCAAAATAATTGATAATAGTTAACAATAAATATGATTGCACACACGGTGTGTTCAAGTGGGTCTCGATTGGGTTAAATAAACAAACAAAAAAATAGAAAGGAAAAAAAATTGTCTTGCGTACAATTGTTAAAAAATCACAGTTTTTTTTTCTTTTTTTTTTTATTTCCTCTTTACGATTCCCCAACGTCGGACTTAGGTTTAATTAAAACGACGATGACGTCGTTTACGGTAATTCCAATTACACGGTGAAGATAGAAATCGATGGAAATCATGCCAATCAAGAAACCAATTCAAGAAATCCTCCTCCTTCACCTCCTGCACCTCCTCCTGCTCCTCTTCCTAGTCTTCTTTCATCTGCTTATCTTTTATCTTCTTTCTAGGATTTTATTATCTTACCTCACCCCCTGCTTACATCAATTTCTTTTTCATGGAATACTCAGTTGGGTCAAAGTTAATTGGATAATTATGCCATCTATATCTTAATTAGAATTATTTCCTCTTTAAGACTATTGGAAACCCTTTTTTTCCTTATTTCTGTTTTTTTTAACACCCTGTATAGCGACACGCGCGTTCCGCTTCTTGGAAGCCGGTTTATACAATTACACGCGGACTTACCTTGGTTGTTCTCGTCGTTCTAAGAGAAGTCGTCGTGTGCTCCAGTTTGTTGCCCATAACATACTCTACACGTTTCGATCTATCGAGAACGAACTTTATAATCTATCTATCTATCTTTTATTTTTTATATGTTTTAACCAAAAACTTATCGCGTGTCGTTAATTTCTGAAATTTGTTTCTTTTTTGTTTTACCCCAAAGCAAACCAATTTTAAAAATTTAAATACGATATACAAAGCTTAAATTTAAAATACAATTATTTTACTATTTATTTAACAAAAAGTTGAATTTTTGTGAAAAACAATATGTATTATTTTGATTTATATTTTTTTATATCTACTGTACAATTTGTTCTTCCATGTACCATTCGATAACATAGTTCAAATTGGAATTTTGCCATTTTAAGTTTGCCAATTTGCCATTATTTTTCTATTTATTTAAGAAAAAAATAATTGTATTTATTTATGAAACAATATTTATAATTTGAGATTTTGTTTCAATTTTTTTTATGCATTTTACGTGTTCTTCCACATAGCATTCCATAACAAAATTTAAATTAAAATTCAATTACTTTTCAATTTATTTAACAAACAAACAAACAGAAAACAAGCATTTGTATATTTTTCTTGAAAATAATATTATATCTGTAATTTTGATGATTTTTTTCCTTCTATAATTTTTTTTTTAAATTCTTCCATCGAGTGTTTTTTTTTTTTTTTTTAATTTGATTCGTGTTGGTTTTATATTCGTTGAAAAGACACCAACGAACTCTCTGATTTCTTATTTAACCAGGCGTGCCGATAGAAGTATAGAAGAGAACCGGCAAAAGGAACGTACGCTTCGGCCCGCGTAAGGAAAGCGAACGAGTTTTTGTGGTTAATCGGGCGCAGACCTCGAAGACCCAACCAACTACTATCGGCACGATTATCGAAACGCATGGTTACCGCTCTTAGAAAAGATTAATCGTTCAAATAAGAACCTCAGGAGAGAACGCACGCCATTCCTTTTTCTTTCCTTTTTTTTTCTTTCTTTTTTTTTACCCTGTTTATCATTTTTCTAATACATTTGAACGTAATATAAATCATATATGAAAAATTGATAATAAAACCCTTATATTGGGTTGGCAAGAAAGTCATTTCGGTTTTTCAGTATGAAATAAGACTCAATTGTTTCTAAACTAACAGTTGTAAACAAAATTATACAGAATTTGTTGTTTCTATAGCAACCTAAAAAGTGTCAACTACCAAACCACAAAAGAACAAAATCCTAACATGACAAAAGAATAACGAAATAAACATTGATGCAAGACGAAATTACTTTCTTGCCAACCAAATATATTTCATCAATAACAA